TCCTGGGGTTAGTCGTACGGTAGCATTGATCAGACGGACCTTTTGGTGGCCAACTATGTTTAAGGACACTAAGGAGTACATTGCCGCCTGCCAGAACTGTGCCCGCAATAAGACCAGTAATCAATCACCCTCTGGCTTACTCAACCCATTACACGTTCCGTCTAGACCATGGTCCCACATCGCCATGGATTTTGTAACTGGCCTACCTCCTTCTCGTGGCTTCTCAGTAATCATGACAGTAGTTGACCGTTTTTCTAAGGCTTGCCATCTCATCCCCTTAAAGGCCCTCCCTTCAGCTGCAGAATCAGCTGCACTTTTGGTGAAACACGTTTTTAGGTTACATGGCATCCCGTTCGAAATACTCTCTGATCGAGGTCCCCAGTTCATTTCTCGAGTCTGGAGGGATTTTGCCACCTGTCTCGGGGCCAAGGTCGCCCTCACCTCCGGATTTCATCCTCAATCTAATGGCCAGTGTGAGAGGATGAATCAGGAACTAGGTGCCATGCTCCGTTGTTTATGTTCCTCCAACCCCTCCCGCTGGAGTTTAGAACTACCCTGGATCGAATACGCCCATAACTCACATGTCTCCTCTTCTACCGGGTTGTCTCCTTTCGAGGTCTCCCTTGGTTTTCAGCCCTGCCTGTTTCCTTCTGAGTTTCCCTCCTCAGTCATCTCCATTCCCCAGTTCCTCAGGAGTGCAAAGCGTGCCTGGTCAGCCACGCAGAAGGCCCTGCAAAGGACTGCTGACCGTAACCGGCGTTTAGCCAACCGTCACCGGAGGCCGGCTCCAGACTATGTGCCTGGTCAGCGCGTCTGGCTGTCGACCTAGGATATTGCGTTGAAGGGCCACTGCAAGAAACTGTCCCCCAAGTTCATCGGCCCCTTCACCATCTCCTCAATCATCAATCCCTCGTCTGTCCGTTTGGAGCTTCCCCCTCATATGAAGGTACATCCGGTTTTTCATGTTTCCCTCCTGAAGCCTGTCTCCTCCAGTCCCCTTTGCCCTCCTCCTGCTCCTACTCCTCCGGTTCGGTTGGCTGATGGGGGTCTCGGTTTTCGGGTCTGGCGCCTCCTGGACGTTAGGCGTCATGGCCGAGGTCTCCAGTATCTGGTGGAATGGGAGGGCTATGGGCCCGAGCACAGGCAATGGGTCCCGGGGTCCTGGATTGACGACCCCTCCCTCATTAGGGATTTTGAGGCTGCCTGGTCTGCCTCCTCCTCCGCCTCCTCCTCCTCTGCCTGGACGCCCGGTGGCGTCCCTTGAGGGGGGGGTACTGTCACGGTCTGGGGTTTTTTCACACACTAATTGGTGTAGAGTCTCATCTCTTCTCTGCAGGTGGGCGTGCCTGGAAGTGGGGAGGCTGCAGGTAATCTGCTGATTAGCTGGCCAGGGATATTTAAGCTCCTGAGAGACGCCTTCACTTCGCTGGATGATTAACTCAACTTGGATATCACCTATCAGTTCACCTCGTTTGCTGCTACCAACCTGGTTTCTTCACTGTCCACTCGTCTCTAAGCGTCCTCCTCTGGTCTTCCCACTCCAGGCTGCCCACCCTCCCTCCTGGATCACCATTACCCTTCATGCTCAGCTCCCTCCTCATTTGGACTCCAAGCTCATCAGCCTCCAGTAAGCCTCCTGCCCTCCCCAGACCGGTCACTCCTCCCTCTCTCACGAGGTCTCACCTCCAACCTGTAAGTTCCATCAGATCCAACATTCAGATTTCCGAGTGCCAGACCTAACTCTCCCTGTTCCTCCAGGATCCTCCACACCCGAACCTCACTTCTCTGCCGAATACTGCTAGACTTCCTAGCAGCTCCTTCTGTTCTCCTTTACTAATAAATTATTGTTTGCGATCTTCTTTGACTCTGTGGACTGATTCTGTATGTTGTGGGTTAGGCATCTACCACACAACATGACACCATTATATCCATTCCAGATAGAAAGTATGGATTTGTGGATAAGAGGAGCTGCAAACCAATTACACATGAATGGGAATATATATATATATATATATATATATATATATATATATATATATATATATATATATATATATATATACAGGTGCTGGCCAGTAAATTAGAATATCATCAAAAGGTTGAAAATATTTCAGTAATTCCATTCAAAACGTGAAACTTGTACATTATATTCATGCAATGCACACAGACCAATGTATTTCCAATGTTCATTACATTTAAATTTGATATTCATAAGTGACAACTAATGAAAACTCCAAATTTGGTATCTCAAAAAATTAGAATATTCTGAAAAGGCTGAATATAGAAGACACCTGCTGCCACTCTAATCAGCTGATTTACTCAAAACACCTGCAAAGGCCTTTAAAAGGTCCCTCAGTCTTGTTTTGAAGGCACCACAATCATGGGGAAGACTTCTGACTTAACAGCTGTCCAAAAGACAATCATTGACACCTTGCACAAGGAGGGCAAGACACAAAAGGTGATTGCTAAAGAAGCTGGCTGTTCGCAGAGCTCTGTGTCCAAGCACATTAACAGACAGGCGAAGGGACGGAAAAAATGTGGTAGAAAAAAGTGTACAAGCTCTAGGGATAACCGCACCCTGCAGAGAATTGTGACGACAAACCCATTCAAAAATGTGGGGGAGATCCACAAAGAGTGGACTGCAGCTGGAGTCAGCGCTTCAAGAACCACCACGAGGAGACTCATGAAAGACATGGGATTCAGGTGTCGCATTCCGTGTGTCAAGCCACTCTTGAACAAGAAACAGCGCAAGAAGCGTCTCGCCTGGGCCAAGGACAAAAAGGACTGGACTGATGCTGAGTGGTCCAAAGTTATGTTTTCTGATGAAAGCAAGTTCTGCATTTCCTTTGGAAATCAAGGACCCAGAGTCTGGAGGAAGAGCGGAGAAGCACAGAATCCACGTTGCATGAGGTCCAGTGTAAAGTTTCCACCGTCAGTGATGGTGTGGGGTGCCATGTCATCTGCCGGTGTTGGCCCACTCTGTTTCCTGAGGTCCAGGGTCAATGCAGCCGTCTACCAGGAAGTTTTAGAGCACTTCATGCTTCCTGCTGCTGACCAACTTTATGGGGATGCAGACTTCACCTTTCAACAGGACTTGGCACCTGCACACAGTGCCAAAACCACCAGCACCTGGTTCAAGGACCATGGTATCCCTGTCCTTGATTGGCCAGCAAACTCGCCTGACCTTAACCCCATAGAAAATCTATGGGGTATTGTGAAGCGGAGGATGCAATACGCTAGACCCAACAATGCAGAGGAGCTGAAGACGACTATCAGAGCAACCTGGGCTCTCATAACACCTGAGCAGTGCCACAGACTGATCGAGTCCATGCCACGCCGCATTACTGCAGTTATTGAGGCAAAAGGAGCCCCGACTAAGTATTGAGTGCTATACATGCACATTCTTTTCATGTTCATTCTTTTCAGTTGGCCAACATTAGAGAAACAAACATTTTTTCATTGGCCTTTAGAATATTCTAATTTTCTGAGATACCAGATTTGATGTTTTCATTGGTTGTCACCTATAAATATCAAATTTAAATGTAATGAACATTGGAAATACATTGGTCTGTGTGCATTGCATGAATATAATGTACAAGTTTCACGTTTTGAATGGAATTACTGAAATATTTTCAACCTTTTGATGATATTCTAATTTACTGGCCAGCACCTGTATTAGTTTCTCTTGCTCTCCCTTTCAGCCTTGTGGCCGTGTCACAGAGGAATGTTTTATCTACTTTTATGCCTTTTAACAGGTTTTCTTTTCCTTCTGCAAGGCTTCAGCTCCCTTCTTGTGCAGCGCCACAGAGAATAAAACAACACTATTAGGAGGTGATGAAAGAGGCCTGAATATTTCCAACCTAATCTCGTCTTCACAGCTCACAGAAGGCATCCTGCTTGTTTTTGTTTAGCTGGCAGATAATCCGGTCGGAGACGAGCCAGGACTGCTTGTGATACAGCAGGAAGCGGAGCAGAGAGATGCTCTGACAGCCTCACCGTCCGCTGTTCTTTTGGTTTCACACGGCTCAGGCATCTTAACGGTTTGGTGAGCTCGTTTTCTGAAGTCTTGAGTTGGTCTTCGGGGTGTTTGAGAGGAATTTTATATTCAGGAAGACATGGAAAGAAAGGGAATGGTGGAAAACCACAACCGCTGGGTTCTGATTGTCACCACTCAAATGGTACAAATCTTTTAATTTTCTGAATTGTTTTAGAGTGTGAATGGGTGAATGATTGTTGTGTTGTAAAGTGCCTTGAGGGGTTCTAGGACTCTAGAAGGTGCTAAATGAATTGTGCATTAACATATTTATTTACTGAATGAATGGATTAAATCAAAATTTTCCCCCAATGGTTAGTGTGATTGATTAAATAAAACCTAACAATAGAAATCAGATGTGCTCCTTTACAATGTTCATTATGTCCTCTTCTTAAATATTTAATGAGGTTTTTTTTTATTTGGGCATATAAGGTTGTGTTGTGAGTTTACCTCACAAAAAAATTAATAAAAGAACCTCATAAAATATTAGATGTGCTATTTTGTTAAAAGCAGCAGAATATCAGTAGAACTATTAAAAAAAAACACCTAACTTTGAGCGGCCATATTTAAACCTTTAAATTTGACCTACAAAACATAGCCTGACCTTTTCTAAACCTGCGCAGTGTTCCTTTTCATGTAAGCATGTTTTAAATATTCACATGCATGAGTGTGCATCCCACACATAGACCATCTTTTAATAGATGGGCTGCGTGTGGGATCATCTTTACAAAATTTTAAAGCTTCCACTTCCAGACTTGGACGTTTCTTGTGTGGGAGCTTTTTTTTGTCTCCTGTATTAAGAGCAAAGTCTGGATCAAAATCAAGCTTTTTCCCAGTGCTGTCCTTCAATTAAGTTCATGCTATTTTTTTATCTGAACACCATTTGATCTTCCAGCGTGGGAGCTCCTGTGTTTCTCCTACAGACGGTCAGAATGAGAAGCAGTGGAAGGTTTGTTTCCCATCGTACCTCAGCCCCCATAGCCCATGCAGCCAGCACATGGCGGCAGGAGTTGAGCTTTTTCGGCTTCATCTTGTCATCACAGGAGCCGCTGTACCGCGGCACGTCTCGCATTTCTGGTGAACATTCAAACACCTCGATGTGGTGCACGATGGCCTCATTACCTGGAGTTATTACAGACTCATACTGGCAGAAACAGAGAAAAAACCAACAGGTTATGCTCTTTTTATCCATGTAAGCTGCGTTAACATCAATACCTGGTCTTGTTACCATGATGATGTGGTTCTTGGGGATGTTTTCAGGCAGCTGGTGGATGAAGCACCAGTAGGTGGTTTCTTGTGTTGGTATGATGACATTTGGCGCCAAGACATCTAACGTCTGCACATCTGGAGGTAGCGTGGGCGACGGCGTGTCAGGACGGAGCATCAGCACTCTCTGTACTCCTGTTTGGATCTTGGAGAGATCCAGTTCTTCCAGAGAGGAGAGAGGTCGGTCCAACAACCCGTAGATGACGTGCACAGTTCCCTCCTGATGAATCAGAACCAAAAAAGGTTATTTATTGACAGCAACGTGCAAAAGCAGAATTATGGAGGACAGTTTATGCTCATATAAGGCTTCTGAGTAAACAGGCAACCTTGTGTAATGTTGTCATAGTAATAAGTGTTGATTTTAGTCTCTGCAACTTAGAAATGTAATGTGGTGCTGCCATGGAAACGGTGTTTATCATGATGAATGTTTCATTGAAAATTGAGATTATCATTTCATGTTTTTATTTCAGCATCAGAAACCAAAAGCTGCTTGTATAAATGTGCTTTTTGTTTTTTCACATGAATTCTTCTCAAAAGAGTATAACGTAAAAAAAATAGAAGTTATTTCTTTTACACAAAAACTATATGTTTTGGCTAATATTAGCAATGATTATGTAATTATATTTCATTGTGTAAATCCAAAACAATCATTTAAAAAGAAATTCAAACAGATAAAATTGGCACTTGCCATCTACAGTATTATCCGTTATGGGGCAGAGGACGTGCATGGGATTAGATGTAGATGGTTTTTGGGGAACATAATAACCCTGTGGAAATGGTAGAAGTTTTCATCAAATAATGTATGTCAAATGATTTATTGGTGTATGTCTGTTAAAGGTGTGCCTCAATAAATACCCATTTTTAATGATTGTTTCTGATTATAATCAGTCACTCTGAACTCAGAGTTTTGAACATAAAAATTATCTTCTACACCTATCTACCTTAGCTACTGATGGTGAAGCTATGGGATTTGGAAAGCCTGACAGATCTACGTCACACCCACTCAGCATTCATGGACTCACCCATCTTGACTCACTACAGGGAGAACTGTTGTTGGTTTAGCATCCAGGAAACAAGGGAGGACATGTAAGCTAGCAGAAGCTAACTGTCAGCATTAGCAGCTACATAGCAGGAGATCCTCCAGGCTTGTGTTGCAAGTCAGTTGTGGAGTTGCGTGGCTGTTAACCAATCTGAGGTAAGATGTCCCAATATCAGGAAATAAGACTCCAAAAACTGCTGTCTGAAGATCAGCTGATGTGGCTCACCTCTAGCTCCTAGAAATGGTGCACACCTTTTACCCACAGTAAAACATGGTGGTGGTTCCATCATGCTGTGGGGCTGTGTGGCCAGAAGGGACTGGGACTATTGTTATAGTAGGCAAAGCTGAAGCTGCACTGGGGCTGGACCTTTCAACAAGACAACACCCTAAACACTGCTCCACCTCTACTAAGGCCTTCATGCAGAGAAACAACTAGAACTTTCTGGAACAGCCACCTCAGTCCCTAGACCTGAATATTATTGAAAGTCTGGGGTGTGAGTTAAAGAGATCCATGCTCAGTAACCATCAAACCTGAATGAACTAGAGATGTTTTTTAGCACCTTGGGCTTCCGTAAAGGCAGTGGAAGGCGATATACAAATAAATGTTTATTGGTTGATGTTTTGTAAAGAATAATGGTCCAAAAACTTCAACCAGAATCCAGACTCTCATTGGAAGCTATAGGAAGCATTTAGATGCTGTTATTTCTGCAAAAGGAGGATCTACTAAATACTGAGTTAATTTCTTTTTTGTGGTGCCCACATTTGTGCAACTGCCTAATTTTGTTTAAACATTTGTTGCAAACTTTCTATAAATTCTATGAACTTCACTTCACTTCTCAAATATCACAGTGTGTGTCTCCTATATGATATATTTAGCTGAAATTCTTTATCGTAACAACCAACAATTTATAGAGGAAAAACATGTAGACTAACAAGGCTACCAAAGAATCCTTCAGCCTCACAGTGGGATGCAAAAGTTTGGGCAGATGTTTTGTTAATTGCTTTTCAGGCAACAGACAAAATTAGCTTTATTAGTGCTTTAGAGTGTGGTGGGGTGGAGGTGTGTGGGAGTCTGCTCAACTCCTTCTTTAATCTGTTTATTGTCATTAATTCTACCAGGAAAAGTAAAGCTTCCAACTGAGGGTTTTTTACTCACAACACAACCATGACAGTTTAGTATTTTATGAGTATGGTTAAAATAAAATTAAATAAAACTGAACCAGATACAACTGACTGCCAAATGACAAAATTATTTCTACAGCACAATTGAACAAAAATGGTCAAATGCAACAAGAAAAAAGCCACAAAACTTAAAATAAACGGTTTGATACTGAGGTATTGCATCACAGAAATCTCGGTTATTTTTCAAAGACTTCAAATGATGTAAGACGTAAATTTATTACATTAAATTAAATTAAAAAAAATATTTTTGTTGGGTCATGTCAGAGCCGAAACAACTAATGGATTTAATTGATTATTAAAATAGTTGACAACTTATTTTGACTCTGATTAGTTGTGCTATAATCACGTTTTACCATAAGTGGTCTAATTTTTACACTATCTGTTATATCCCTAATCTTTCTTTCCAGATTTCTCTTGCTGTAGGTTTTTTTGTAGATTATTAGCAAAAAACGATTAATCATAAAAATAATTGACAGATTAATCGATTATGAATCAGCCCAGAAATAAATCTTGGGTAAAGATTTAAAAGTGGCTCAGCTTCTTATGTATACGAAAAGCCAGTCTTTTGAATTGTTTTCTTTCATATTGATATTCTGATGGAACATTTTGCAGAACTACAATAACTAAGAATGTGGTTTGCTGTGCATCACAGACAGCTGATGGACAACCAACCTAAAGTATAAATAAACGAAGGTCTGGAGCTCATGGATCAGCCAGAAACTTTAAGCTACTGCATTTATTTTTTAATTCTGACCCAATAACCTGTCCCACCTGGATGAGGTAGTCTCTGGGATCACAGGTACTAAACGGTCTTTTGAAGGTCAGGTAAAATCCATCAGCTTTCTGTTTGGCTTCAATCAGCTCATAGTCTTGTTGGCGGTCCAGCGATATGCGGCCTTTTCCATCGCTCCACGCATCCTGAGGGAGAAGACAAGCATGGAGAAAACTTTACTCAGAAAAATAATCTTTTGTATCACTTAGAAGCATCAGATGCCATCATCAGTGGGGCTAGATCAGAACCCAACTCAAGGTGTCTGCAACAGAAACTTTCCACAAATTAAATTATGATGTTTGATTTATATTCCACCCAAAATTTAATTTTTGTCTTCTTTTGGTTAGGGTTAGGGTTGCACCTTTCAGCGGAGGCTTGCAGCTTTGCTTTGCCATAAAGTAGTCCCAAGTTTAAAATGGTGCCTGTGATTTCTTTACGTTACTAATTATTTTCACTTGCAGTCAGTCTGATTATTTAGTTCACCAAGCAGTATTTGGGATCACTACTGAGTGATTTTAAAGACTTGTTTACTCTCAATTCTAGTTGGATCCATTCACTTACTTTGCTTTATGCTAAGCTAAGCTAAAGGAATACAGCCGGATCAGGAGAATGACCGGGCTGGTTAAAAATAGTTTCTTCCCACTTATCTAACGCTAGGAAACATGTCAACAGAAAACATTTCAATTTTGGGTGAAATATCTCTGAAAACTGAGATCACATCATATAAAATGCCTAAAGAACAATAAAAAAATTAAAAGAAAAACCTGGCTGGTTGTTCATTTTCAAACCCACGCAAAGGACATGTTTGACAGTGATATAGGATTCACAAGTTCAGTAAAAATTGTGGCAGCTGGTGTTGTGAAACCTTCCCAACCTGGTGAACAACATGTCCTTTATCTCTGCCAGAGTTTGCAGCAAACAGCTCAGCTTCTCCATCTTGGCTCTGTTTCTCACTATCATACCTTTTCCAGATACCATCAGAGATCCTTGTTTCCACCACTCCTACACAACTGTTCCACCAAGACCACACCGAGTTTTAGGAATTGTCCTTCCCAAGATTCATGCAGAACACACACATCAGATAATAATGGTTTATATTTGCATTTGACCTATAAAGCAATTTCTCTCTCTCTCTCTCTCTCTCTCTCTCTCTCTCTCTCTCTCTCTCTCTCTCTCTCTCTCTCTCTCTCTCTCTCTCTCTCTCTCTCTCTCTCTCTCTCTCTCTCTCTCTCTCTCTCTCTCTCTCTCTCTCTCTCTCTCTCTCTCTCTCTCTCTCTCTCTCTCTCTCTCTCTCTCTCTCTCTCTCTCTCTCTCTCTCTCTCTCTCTCTCTCTCTCTCTCCTCTCTCTCTCTCTCTCTCTCTCTCTCTCTCTCTCTCTCTCTCTCTCTCTCTCTCTCTAATTTAACAAGAAATGACAGTAGTCTGACATGATGAGGCTGGATTTTTAGTGAAAGGACATATTTTGAATCAAAATTCAAGAAAATACTCATTTAGTTACATGGATTGAGGAAAATCTTCATTTTAAATGCAAATGATTCTCATGGAAACCCTTCCGAAATGCTGTGGCGTAGCATCACTGCATTTAATTAGCTAAAAAAACAATTTATGCCAATTCAATGCAAAATGTAATGTAAGGTGGGTAAGTGTCTTTCCCAAGGACACAACAGCTGCATTTTCGGGTGGGAGCAGGGCTTGAACATGCAACCTTCTGTGGGATCTTTCACACATCAACTACATTTAGTCAAATCATCAAAATTGTTAGTGACTAATGGAGCAGGTAACGACGGATAGCATAACAATACTTAGGTTGTTGTTTATTTCCCCAACTTCCCCATAATTAGACATCATTGGGTGATGGTGGTAGGAGTTAAGCTCCTGCCCCGTAACCAGAGGGTTGCAGGTTTGAGCCCCATCACTCTGACACAGTTGTGTCCTTGGGCAAGACATTTAACCCTCCATCCCTCCTGGTGGAGTTCAGAGGTGGTGCCTGCTTGCTGCAGCCTTGCCTCTGTCAGTGAGCCCCAGGGCAGCTGTAGTTACAATGTAGCTCATCACTATCAGTGTGTGATTGGGTAAATGGCTGATATGTTGTAAAGCACCTTGGGGGGGGGGGGGGGGGTTGGGGGGGGGGGGGTTATAGGACTCTGGAAGGCACTATAAAAACACACATCATTTACCAAACTGACGAGATGCTGAAAATGACGTTCAGGAATAAAAAGTCCAACATGACTCACTTTCAGCTCTTGCTGATGTTTCCATACAAACACAAATAGAATGAATAACCACTGAACAGAGGTCAGTATAAAAAGGTATTGATTATTTTGCAGAGGGAAACTGGTGTTGGGTTTCTAAAACCAGCTTGTGTGTGGCTAAGTGAAAATGAATCATTTTACACATCTGAATTAGCACACAATTCAGCTTTGATAAGCAAATATCTGCTGATGAGTCCCAACAGAGCCTCAGCTATTAGTGCAATTTGACTGATTTCCAATTAGCAAGACCTGATAGCATCTTTAGTGACTCTGTGATCACGGAGCAAAAAGCTCCCCCAGGCTGCTCGTGCAAAAATCCAACACCCCAACAAACGCAGACGGATGAAGAATTGTGACAACGCCCCGCTCCTTTGAGGTCTCTGTGAAATCCCTGCACTGATCTGGCTTTGAAAAGCTAACTTTGAAAGAACAGCTAGAATAAAGTGAATGATTTTCAAACATTTGATCTTATGCCTGGTGTCTTGAAAGTTAGAGAAGACTTTCTTACCCCAAAGTAGCTCCTTGATCCAGTGTCCCACAGCACAACCAGATCAGCATTAGTCAGTTCTCCACGGTCAGACATCCCCAGGACCACGCCATGTTTGAGCTCCGCAACTCTCAGCTGCATGTAAACCTCCTGCTGGGCAAAGCTGACATTCCAGGCCAGCTGGAGCTCCCCGCGGGGGTCAAGGGGAACACGGAAAGGCATGGGGAGAGGTGGCAAGGGGCTGGAGGGGCTCGGTTTGAGGCCGGACACGCCGACAGCATTGGATGGAGCCTGATATGAAGCCACCAAGATGACCGTCAGAGCGGCCAGGGCAGTGAAATACAAGATGGTGATGTCCTGAAGGCGGAGGTCTTTCTTAAAGATCCTCATGATGGATCCGTTTTTTTTAGAGATCCCTTCAGATTTTCCTTTTTTCTTCTGGTTGTTGGTTCCTCTTTCCCTTCAGGCAAAGATGATTGAAAGTTCAAGCCAAAACTTTTCCTGCAGTGCTGCAGCTCCAAGCAAACTGTAACAGAAAACAATGGTTTCAACAGTGGTCCCAGCCTTTCCAGTGACCTGCTGTTAAGAACTTGTTGGTGTCACCCCTTTCCTCTGAACCGCTGCTGTAAATCTGTGGATGTCATCCACCTCTCTGGGATTTAAAAGACTCCTCCCTGTGAGTTGTCTGTTTTTATCCAGCCTAATGGCATTACATTTGTTGAGGAAAATTGGATTGTATTCTTTAAGCCCTGGGGGTCAGCCATGATTCAGCACATCTGCCAGACCCTAATTGATCCAAATTCAACCATGGACATTATCAACGGCAATCAGCTTTGACTAACGTAACTTTATTGCTCCCCGTCTCTCCTATGTTGTTTGTACAAATATCACACATGTTTAAAAATCCTTTAAATGTCTGCTAAAAATCTCATCCCAGAGCTTTGTTTAGGTTTGATTTGAACAAGCAGAGCAACAGGTACCGAGGAAGGTGTAAACAAGGCATTAAGACATTAAGGTCCTCCTTAAGCCAAGGCCTCGGGCAGCAGAAGACCTAATCAAAGTGTCAATTACAGGATTCAAAAGTTAAAGCAACCTGCTCTAAAAGGTTAGAAGAGTCCAGCTGGAAAAGAAAAGAAAGAGTAGATCAGAGTGTCACGCTGAGCAGGAGGAGGTAGGGCCCAAAACACAGAAGCCAGAATGACTCGAGGCAAGAGCAGTTGAAAAAGGTAAAATCCTTTTATTAGGTGGCAACACAAAATAATTTAGAGATGCAGGAGTCAAATCCAGAAAACTGGAAATCAGGAAGACAAAAAACAAAAGCTAAATTATGAGCACAAAGACCAGAACATGACAAGGGAACACAACAACGCTGACTCACATCAATGGGCCGACAAACACTGAGGGACAAGACAGGGCTTTGAGGCCTAGTCCACACGTAGCCGGGTTTTATGAAAACGAATATCCGCCCCTCCAAAAACTTGCATCCACACCACCTCGTTTTGAAAAAAAACTCTGTCCACACGTACCCGAATAAATACGTTGTTAAGCACATGCCAGACCTGTAGGCGGCAGTACTTCCCCCGTTCTTAACCTCGTCCTTCGTCTGTGGTCTTCCGCAAGGAGCAGTAATTCCGCTTGCAAAAAACAAACAAGCAAAAAGCGCTTGGACAATTGATAAAGCGAGCGCAGCTCTGAGGGCACCCATGCTGTCGGCTAGTGTAAACACAGGTCGCACACGTGATGTCAGCATTTTTCTGTCGCGGAAAGTGACGCTGCGGACCTTAAAACTGCGGTTTTGTCTGTCCACACGCAGACATCCAAAACGGAGAAAATGCAGATCTTCACTTTGGCCGGAATTTTTAAAAAGATCCGTTTTTGCGTGAAAAAACTCCATTTTTGTGTGGATGACAGGCCAAAACGTAGAAAAATATCTAGGTTTTGGCAGATCCCCGGCTACGTGTGGACAGGACCTCAAACACAGAGGGAGGTGATCAGAGGAACAGGTGACAGGTGTGAGTGATCTGGAAGGAAGGCAGGTGCATTCAATAAACTAAATGGGGAAAGAACTAAGCAGGAGAACCTGGAGGAGAACAGGAGGAGGCTGGGGACAGAGGGACACAGAACATGACACAGAGAGTATCACAGATCTTTGGTGTGTTCTTACTGTGTTTAGTTTCTAATTCCATTTTTGGTTCTTTTTAAAACACAGGAAAAGTTTTTCTTTACCTTGCTGACGTTTCGTTTGCCAACTGCAAAACATCCTCAGAGCTGACGCTGATGGTGGCGTCACTTCCTACTCCGTTTATCCGCGGGCAGCAGAGGGCGACACATTGTCTTGACTGATAATGTCTGTAAAATTGTTATTTGTGAGGTCAGACAGCTGAGGAAGCTGTCTTGCACTTGGTTGACTCTAAAAGTGAATCAGCTGATGGACATTCAATAAAGATTTAATAAAACTTTCATTGAAACAGTGGTTGACAAGATATTTTACAAATAAATACACACGCAAAGGTCAAGGTTTTGCACATAAAACCAAAAAGCTATTAAAAAAATAATATTTCTAAACCGTTGAAATAATCTCGTTGGAATGGTTTAAGTCAGTAGAAGTGTTCTTTTTGAATTAAATTAAATGAAATTACTTTTATTGCCATTGTAGCTTCTGTGAATTTGGTCAGTGTAATTTGGGTTTGTTCAAAAGGGACAACAAATTATTAAAAATATACAAAACATATAAAAATGTATATATATACAAAAATCACACACTGATGTGCACTTGAACAATTATTGCAGCAAGCTGAAGTGGTTTGCAGCGAATGTGAAGCAGCTGGGATGAGAATCAGCTTCTCTAAATCCGAGACCATGCTCTTGAGTTGGAAAAGGGTAGAGTGCCTTCTCTAGGTCAGGGACGAGGTGCTGCCTCAAGTGGAGGAGTTTTAGTATCTCAGGGTCTTGTTCACAAGTGAGGGAAAGCTGGAGCGTGAGATTGACAAGCAGATTGGTGCTGCGTCTGCGGTGATGCGGGCGTTGTACCGATCTGTCGTGGTGAAGAGAGAGCTGAGCCAGAAGAAAAAGCTGTTGATTTACCGGTAGATCTACGTTCCCACTCTCACCTATGATCACGAGCTTTGGGTAGTGACTGAAGGAATGAGATTGCGGATACAAGCGGCCGAAATGAGTTTCCTCCACAGGGTGTCTAGGTTCTCCCTTAGAGATAGGGTGAGAAGCTCGGTCATCCAGGAGGGGCTAAGAGTAGCTCTACATCGAGAGTAGCCAGTTGAGATGGCGTGGGCATCTGGTTAGGATGCCTCCTGGATGCCTCCCTGGTGAGGTTTTCCAGGACACTCTGGAGGGACTATATCTCTCAGCTGGCCAGGGAACACCTTGGAATTTCCCTGGAAGAGCTGGCCCAAGTGAGGAGAGGGAAATCTCGGCCTCGTTGCTTAGGCTGCTGCCCCCGCAACCCGACCCCGGATAAGTGACTGAAAATGGATGGGTGTATGCTGTGGGATAAAAGCTGTTGTTCAGTTAAGTAGTCTTTGTTTTTAATGTTCTTTAACATCACTCTGCAGGAGCAGTTGGACGAGCGGGTGTCCAGCATGATGTGTCTTTTATGATGTTCAGTGCCTTTTTGAGGTACGTGCAGCTCATCCAGGGTGGACTTGTGGTAGAAGGTGTCACTACGGGCCAACAGCTCAAGCATCTTCTGTTCCATGACATGAAGTGCTCCAGAATGACTCAGTTTCCTTTAGTTTTTGGTTTATTTTGGTTCCTGTAGGAAACCCCACTTATCACAAAATTTCTGAAAAGAAAAAAAAATAAGTCCAGTAAAATTGAGAAATTCATATGATTTTATCATTCTGAAAACCTTTAATGTATAAAATAAATTTTTGCTGAGTAACATCTTGAGAAGATGTTGAGGTTCCTTTTATTCTAGGAAGAACTGAGCGTTACATCTGCTGCCAGCTCTAGATGTAATAGATCTAATTCTGTACAGGATCTCAAACCATTGAGTTTGTCTTCCAGGAGAGGATCATCCAGGGAACGCTCAGGATCAGAGCAGACAGCAGAGCGGCTGGTGTTGTGTGAGTTAATGTAATAAAAGCTGCTGGTCCCTGAGGCAAAAACAGAGATCGGTGAGTCCTGCTCTCACGTGGGCCTCACTAATTATCTCTGTTTTCTCTCTGTGTGTCTCACAATAAATGTTTTGTTTTTATCTTTTACACAACTTTTTGTCAGGCCTGCCCTGCTCACGCCCCTCTAGCGGGGAGGGGCCTCCTTCACTCGCTTCCTGCCTTCTCATCATCTCTTACATGCACACTTGTCTTTTCTGCTGCCACTACTGATGCGTCAGCAAACAGAGCTGAGATGCCGTGAACTCAGCTGGAGAGGAGGAGGACAGAGGGGGAGAGAGGGAAGCAACACACACACACACACACACACACACACACACACACATATATAAATGTATATATACATATATTTATATATATATATATATATATATATATATATATATATATATATATATATATATACGTGTGTGTGTGTGTGTGTCACTGTATTTTCTAGTGATAAACTAGTATAAATTATCAGTAAATTCTTTACATCTTTACATTTTTAGCACGAATGTCAATTTAATCAGCATGTGGTGAGCTGAACAGCCACTCAGGCTCACATCAGCCTGAGTGTGCACACTACACACACTAAGTGAAAGGGTATGAAAAATAAAAGCATACGAACAGATTTCACCTCTTCATGACCAAATCCAGCCATCTCATTCTCTGTTAATATAAATATTTCAACACTGCAGACTCTCAAAGTGCACTAATCCCCACGTCTGTGAGTTTAAATAATGAATGCAAAAAAAAAAGAAAGAAAGAAAGAAAGAAAATCACACACTTCTGCTCTTTATGTTGCCTCAAACTGCCCCTTGTCTGATCTGAAAATGAGAGCAGGGTGGTTGTAGGCTGGATTTAGATAATTAGAAGAGGTGACTTAAGGTTTTGGGAGAGAGAGAGAGAGAGAGAGAGAGAGAGAGAGAGAGAGAGAGAGAGAGAGTGAGAGAGAGAGAGAGAGAGAGAGAGAGAGAGAGAGAGAGAGAGAGAGAGAGAGAGAGAGAGAGAGAGAGAGAGAGAGAGAGAGAGGCGAGGTTCTGTCATTCAGAGATAAACTCTTTCTGCTGGAACATCCTGTAGTCTGAAGACCGAGAGGACATGTGACATCCTTCCAGGGACAGCAGCGTCCATCATTCAAATGGAGCTTGATGAAGGTTTAGTTCCAGACGAGCCACACGAAAGAGTCAAATTGTTCTTCCAACTTGGCTGAATCTTGTACAGAAGATAAGTGTAATGGCTCTTTTAAATTAGGAGCACAGATTTGTCTGTCCCAAGCTCACACCCAGGATGAATGGCCCTGGTCACTCAGGGGGAAGCTAATGATGCATCAGCTTCTGGATTTATGATTTAGGAGGAAAACGTTTAGATTTGCGACACTGTTTAGATAGTGGTGAGAAACATAGTTGTGAATAGTTTTATCATCTAAAATATCTGACCTGTTGTAGAGATACCATTCTAAAGTTTTGAAAATGTTTGTTGAAATGCTTTTCATGCATACTCATAAAATAAGTCTAGACGGGAAATCAACGTGCAGACATTTCAGTTATTTCTAAATGATGAAAGCTTTCTTCATGCTTTGCTGTTACAAGAAAAAAAATCTTTTTACAGCTATTAAATCCTAACTGGATAGTGTTGCTATAAAATGTTCAAGGCAATCTGGTGACCCCATCTTTCCTGCAGCTTCTCCAGAGATTTGGCTGGCTGAACGTAATTTAAATATTACACACATTTTGGCAGTGTGTTATAGGTCAATGTCCTTCTATAGGTTGGTTTTGCACACATCCTTTACCTGCACACAACAGGGGAAAACCAGACAGGCTTCATTAGATTCGAGAGACTGGCAACTTGAGAAGGAAAAAGGACTATTCTGCACCTATGAAAACACAGAATAATGCTGCACTTTCTATATAGGCAAAACATGGTAATGAAAACTGTAATATTTGCCAGATATTTCCTGAAAGGGGAAACATTATGCTAAACTCGTCTTTTGCATACTTTGTGTTGCCATAAGGGTCTAAACACTCCAAACAGTAAAAAACAAAACATTCTTCTGTTTTATGTCAGTGTTTGGATTTAGAAATAATGTGCCTAAAACAAGCTGTGTTAAAAGTCTCCATTTGTGACATCACAAATTTGAATAAAACCACCTCTCATGTGCAAGAGAGAGATCAGGGGCTCTACTCTGAGCACCTCCCGGATATCGGAGCATGTCAGCATACAGCAGCCCAGCAGGGGTGGGCGTGGCCAGCTCCAGCTTGTTTCCTTTAACTCCTTCACTGCCAATGACGACTTTTGCATATTTTTACTGCGTGGGCGTCGGAACGAGCCCCCACCGTGAGAACAAACATCCCAGCTCTAAAGCTGATCTTCATCCGAGTACATCACACATCACGTGCTCAGGAAACGGAGAATCCATTTGTTAGGACAGGGGTGTCAAACTCAAATTCACACGGGGCCGAAATGAAACTCTGGGACAGAGTCGCGGGCCAAACTTAATATTTTTTGAAAAAGTGACGGCAAATTTGCACATTTTCTTTATCAACATATATGCAATTTTGAACCTTTTAATTTGGAAACAAACTTATTTTTGCATTAACACTGAATGTGGAACAACCAAATTACACACGAGCAAGTCAATTTTAAATAAAACGCATCAGTGGTATTCATTACTTGTGGTATAATCAGCATTTTTAAAATCCATTCAGGATTTATGTTTTCTTGTTGATTATTCATTTTTCTTATTTTTTATTCTCCTTTTTTCTCCTGTAATAAGTGTCATCGCTGCTTTGACATCTAGCTTTCCCCACTGAGGAACAATAAAGGGATTTTCTATTCTATTCATCTATCTGCAGCCTTTCCACTTCCTGTTTACTGTAGGTTAAATCTTTTCTCACGGAACAACAACAAAATAAAAGTATCATTTTATCTTAAATGAAAATGCAACATCTCACCTGTTAGCTTTCATGTTTTGGAGCAGAAAAAGAGCAGAAAACCAACATATTTAAAGCTCAGTTTGCTCCACTGGTTTACTGTGATGCTCACCTGTTCCAGCCAGATACCTGCATCATGGGGCTGATCTGAGCTGAGGAGGAGACTCCTGTTGTTTTGTTCATCTTCATCATAATAATGACAACATTAGATGACAACAGGTGCTAGATTTGTGCTGGTGAACATGGCAAGCGTCTGAGCAGCTTGACCACGTTGTTGTGTGTCGGGGAGGAAAAATAAAAACGACAGCAGCCACAGAGTCGTGCTGGTTTGAGCGTGTCGCTGCTCGCTGGAGTTATATCAGCTCTGTCTGGAAGTTAGTTGGAAAACTTTCTCTTTCAGTCGTGAACACATTACTGAGCAGTTAAAATCTCCGTTTCTGGGCTTCAACGTCGGCAAATACCTGAGTAAACTCCGCGCTGAGTGAGAGGAGTGTTTAGTTTGTCCGAGACAGCGGAGCTGCAGACACCGGCAGCAGACGCTGGAAAAAACACAAAGCAAGGGGCGCTTCGGCTCCGTGCTAACATCGCTAAGCATCTTGGGAGTTGTAGTCTTTGCGGTAAAATAGGCCAGCGGGTCAGTTTTAATATATTTTTTATATTTATCTCGCGGGCCACATAAAAATGCTCCATGGGCCTTGTGTTTGACACGTGTGTTAGGAGATCTTTTTGGGCCGCTGCTGTGAAAAACGTGAGGCGCCAACCAGAAAAGCTTCTGCTGATCACAATTTAACAACAGAATATGAGAGAACTGATAATGCTTGAAACGTGTGGATTCTTCCTGATGTAAGAGAGGAGTCTAGTCTTTGTTTTGATTGTTTTGGCATCGACATCTTCCTAACGCACAATGTACTGTGATTCTTAAAAAACAGTAAAAACGCTGAAAACCCCTGGCAGCAAAGGGCTTTACTGATCAGGACTGCTTGACTGGCAGCGAATGATTTAAGAGCAAGTCTCCCCAAATCAACTTTTTTTTACTGATAAATTGTATAATTGAGTGGCTAAAGGTGATGTAGATGTGTGTAGTCATTATTTTGGTCTGTTTGTGCATCTTATTGGAAATAAAAAAATTCTAATTGCTACAATATTGAATTTGAATAAGCCAGAGTTGCTCAGTGGCATTGCTGATACCCCACGTGGCTGCACTGGACTGCAGCCCAGTCTCAGCCACACGTCCAGCTGCCTCGGCCACTCACAAAGTGACAGGAATTGATACTGCTCAGAGCCGCTCCCCTCTTTTAAAAAAAAAGTCACCCTCCTCCCTTTCATCTAGTGAATGAGGTGAAGAGAAAATCCTTAAGTGCGCTGCTGTTTTTCTGCTTGCTCTTATGACTGAGCAGTGTGTCGGTGTGTCAGTCACTGCCTCAATGCCAATCTCTGTCCACCAGGCGACACCTCCTTTAGGTGCATGTTTCAAGCAGGAAGTGTGGGAAAAGTACGAGTCCTGAAGTGGGGGGACTGACTCTTTAAAGTGACAGAGCCTTGAAATGGCTCATTCTGGAAGGTACTGAAAATGTCAAAAATAAAACTGGTGAAATTGCTTTATGTGAGAGGTTTGGAGTAAAGAACTTCATGAACATGTTTAGTAATGACAATAGAACTATTATAACTTAATAAGAAAGGTCATTACATGTCTCCTTTAAAGTCTCAATCAACTAGTAATTTGTAAAAACCCACACTGGAAATGGTGGCGTCTCCATCAGGGGAAGTGAAAATGACAGCCAGGCTGGCTTCTTCAATTGACCAAAAACAAAATGAAACAAATTTGTTCTAATGTGAAACTCATGGTAATCTAAAGACTCATGACAAAGCATCAACCACTCAGCATGTTTTTTCCCGAAGTTGTTTTAAGATACAGTCATTCAAGCTTGTCAGTCTGGCCAGAAAAAAAAAGAATAAACAACTCCAAAATCTTCCAAACTGAGTTTGAGTGAAAAAAAGTATAACGTTGAAGATATTTTTTATCTCCAAAAATTGAAAAATGTAAAGCTTTAATCTAAACTTCGCAACACTTTCTTTCTACTAAAATGTTGTTCAAGGTCATATAGTCTCTAAACTGAGAAGCATCAGTATATTGTCCTCCACCTACACACGCGCGCGCGCACATACACACACGCACGTCTTGTTGAAGAATACCACCTCACTGTTTGTTTGACTTTCTGAACATCATTCAGACGAGATGTAACAGGGAATTCGGCATCTCTCTCTCTCTCTCTCTCTCTCTCTCTCTCTCTCTCTCTCTCTCTCTCTCTCTCTCTCTCTCTCTCTCACTCTCTCTCTCTCTCTCTCTGTCTCTCTCTCTCTCTCTCTTCACGACCGCTCCACTTGCTTTTCGACAAAACATCGAACAGCAAGCCAGCTCACATGTAGCGAGATGAGCTGAGCATGCGGGAGGAGGAGATGCTTCAATAACCGGACTGAGAAAGAAGAGAGGGAGAGAGGAGACCTGGAGATTCATCCCATCTAACACCTGACCTCCACCTTCCAGGACGCAGGTCGAGTTTTGGGGAAGAATTGGAAAGAAATGGCGAGGTTTTGCCCTCCAGCACACATGTTGCCGAGGCTGCTGGTCATCCTGAGGATGTTTGCGTAGGAGTGTTTGATTTTTGCGGACAGCGACAGTTCAGTAGTCTGTCTGAACAACTCCAAGGACGTGTGCGTCTTCTCCAAGCACATTTGTTAGAGATAACATCATCATTACTGGAGTCCGCCTCGCTTTATTTACATTTGGAGTGTTTCATTTTATTTTTATTTTTTTGGGGGTGGGTGGGGTGTTTTTCCATTTTCTCCCCTCCGACGCTGCAAAACATGTTTTGCATTTAGTTAAGAGCACGTGAGGAAAGACAATAACCAAGGTCCCAGTGGGAGGTTTCTGCCCTTCACTCCTATTTGATCACTTCAGCATTTAGTTTTTTTTTGTTTTTCTTTTTTTTTTTTTTACTGGCACTGGATTTTTTTTCTTTTCATTGACCTCAGCATTAAGTGACTGATTAGGTAAACTGCAAGATGGAATTTGAGCTCCAAGGAGTGAGATGTGACCCAGAGAGTTCCTCTTATATCTGAAGGTAATGCTTGCTGCATTTTCATAGATAGATAGATAGATAGATAGATAGATAGATAGATAGATAGATAGATAGATAGATAGATAGATAGATAGATAGAGATAGATAGATAGATAGATAGATAGATAGATAGATAGATAGATAGATAGATAGATAGATAGATAGATAGATAGATAGATAGATAGATAGATAGATGATAGATGACAGATAGATAGATATTTTCAGCACCATGGACAGAGACTCTCTAGGTCACACAGCAGAGGATCCTACTTTTTCACACAACAAATGCATGAATATGTGTAGTTAAACCATTATTAATTTCATCACACACACACACACACACACACACACACACACACACACACACACACACACACACACACACACACACACACACACACACTGAGTCTCCACAGAAACAGATGGGAGGAGGAATATGATGGACAGGTTCAGCACTTTGCATTGCCGCCTGGGCCGGTTCGCCACATGCTGACAAAACAGCATAGCTTGTGAGCCAGAACTTCTGTCACCAACTGTTAGCCATGGTCGTGTCCAAACTGTTCGCTGCAGATATTTTTAGGCAGAATGGAAATGCATCTCAGGCGGCATTAAAGCTCCGCAACATTAAAGTACTGTGTGAAGGAGAGCATATTATTTTTGTGATCAGTGAAATGGAGCGCAAGATGCAATCCACCACCCACTGAGTGTTGTGGAAACACTGTGCAGGATGAGGTACTAACCAACCAGTTGAAATGTCATCCCACTAGCCATTTAAAAAAAGCTGGAATGAATTTTGCATGGAACTCAGACTTTCTCCTTAAAGAGAGAATAATTGATCTCTTTAATATTGTAGTAAGATGGACTTAGAGTTTGTGTGTGTTTGTGTGTGGATGTGTTTGCAGCTACTGAACTAGCCATAATTAATTTCCCAGTTCAGCCAACAGATGTAAACATACCATGATTTAATAGTTGGAAATTTCACTGATGCATAAGATTAATGGTTGAGCAGATTAATACCTGGCTCCTATACGCCACAGTTTTTATTTATTAGGTTAACTGGACCAGTATTCTCCTATTATACAATAAGACTCACAGAGTTTGGACACTTTGTTGCTGTTAGATCTCTTATGGCAGGAAAAGTTAAGGTGGGGCTTGTGTTCCCATGGCGACTCCGTTGATGACCCTCGGATCAACCTTGGCCTCAGGGGAGATCAGTTACACACACACACACACACACACACACACACACACACACACACACACACAGACAGATAACAAAGACACAGTCCTGTCCTTCCTGGTGCTTGAATGTGCGTCTGCCTGCTGCTGTTCCACCCGTCCACTCTGTCTCTACAGCAGAACAGTGACATGTGAGGGGAAAGGAAAGGACAAAAAACACATTTCTAAAACAGATGAGTGCAGCAGGCCTATAAACTGAGATGGCTTCATAGCAGAAGGGGTTAAACTAAAGTGCTTTTAATCTGATTACCCATAAAATATTCTCCTGGGAAGGTGAATCCATGTGAATCAGCTTTTGTTCCTAGATTGTGTGGAGAGTGGGGTGGATGGATTGAAGCTGGGGGGGGGGGGAAGGGAACATGGCTGCTCACTGATCATGTTAAACAGTCACCATCCGCTTATCCCTTCCTCCACCCATCTCTTGTCTCCTCCCCCTCGACTCAGCTCCCCCTGCAGCTACACCCTGACATGCTCGCACATCACTCATGCAGCAGATGATGCGCTCAAACCCCAGAGTGACCAGCATTCCAGCCTGAATGTGTTTGTGTGGGGAAATCATTGATCAGCTGACCTCATCCAACTGAGTGATTGTAAAAAAAATATTACAAGATTCATTCTAAAGAGTGGAGGATAGGTCAGGGAGAGTCACAGCGGGAATTAAATCTGTTTTCCTGTGTTTCTCCATGGCCATTTATCAAGTGCCAAACATATTTCCTAATTTGTTATCATGTTTTAAGGATTTTGCTGATTATTTGTATATTTTTGGCCAAGATGAGCAATATTTTTAAAAAGTATACCATGAGCCTTTAAAATGCTGAAAATGCTACTTCTGCATTTATTTTGTGGAAGAAACACAACGGACTCAAACAGGATTTAAATAAAAACAATAAAGCATGACTATGTAAACATTTTTATAAAACAAATGCTCATTGTTCTTTGTGCCAACCAGTTAGATCTTTACTCAAAGACATAAAACGCTCTCTCCTTTAAACTTACAGTTTTGTGCATGCATTACACTTTAAGACTATTGCATTCCTGCATAAATGTGCAGCACTCATTTCAAGTAAGCCTAAAGGCATCTCATTACTTGTTTCATGGTCCAAAGCAGTACTTCCTCCCGCTTGCCTCTGTGGATATCATCAGAGAATGGGGTCTAGCTGTGTAATTTTCAGTCTACCACAAAAAAGTTGCAAATGTCAGCAAAGCCCCTTTCTAGACAGTGATGTAATGAAGATGAAAGTGAGAAAATAAGACGAGTAAGAGTCAGTATGCAATTAAAGATTCTCAGAAAATGCTTCTAATGCACACGTTTCATTTGCTCTGTTGTCCTGCTGGGAGAAGCACAGACCAGTCTGGGGAAAGTTGGTGCAAATAAAACTACTTTTTAAGTGTAAACCACCCACTCAAAAACATCTGAAATGGTAAAATGTCAGACTGCAATAGAGCTGTCGTCATAGTAACTGAAGGCCAGTTCATGCTGTTGCACACACACACACACATGCTGCCTTCTTGAGCACTGACCATTAGCAGTAACAGCCAAGCAATCACCAGCTCCGAGCTCTCAACACACTCCCCTCAAACATCTTCACTTTTCATCTCATGCATCTTTTCTTCTGATTAATAATTATTTCTCCCCACATTTTGCTTTTGCTTCTTGCTTTTCTCGCTTTTTTCCCACCATAACACTATTTCTCCTCGAACACCATTTTAAGTCTGAGTGCTTGTTTTTGTTTCTCTTGTTTTGATGACACCTTTATTTACTGGAGACCTTTACATCCCAGAAATAGTATCCCGACTTCAATTCAATCTACATTTGGAGAAATAATATCACACATTACGCAAAATACTATCAATCCATTTCTCATGCAGATTATATGTTCTTTGATGAAATAGTCTCAAAGCTGCATAAACAATGGAGCCAGTATTAAACATAGACATAGCTCTGTTTCACATTTTTTCAACAAAACTAATTAATTTCATCTCCAAATAACCCCAAAATTAAGGTAATCAACAAAATAAATGTTATTTAAATATTTGTCACATTCTGTTTTGCCATTCACGCTTTTATTTAGTCATATTTTAAAAATGACACACTTTTGCACCTTCAGGCAAATCTCCTTTAAAGAGTCAACACAAGGTGGCAGAACAAAGGCAAAACACACTGGTGACATGTGGTATTCATCAATCAATATGCCTGCAGTGTTTTTTTCGGTATGACCCCATTTCCTTTTTGCACAACATAGTGAAATATTACTATACGATTTAATCATCAAGCATTAAAGTTGCTGAAGAACATACATAGAAATCCTTAGTTTGGAAATCCGGACTTCCGTCGTGGCTCTTTGCTACTTTTATAGCAGCGCCGTTGTGTTCATGTGACTGATTGACTACATAGAAGATTAGGCTTAAAGCTGCAATGACATTTTTGGAAAACAAACATTTTTTCATGCCCTTTAACAACATTCTAACATAGTTTTGCTATAGAAATATTGTGGATATTTAAAATAATGAAAACCATTAATTAAATAAAGGCAATAACACGTTTCGGACCAAAACCAACAATTGAACCATCTGGTGTGAGATGTGCGCTCAATAACGTCAGAGAAGGAGAACCACCTGGCTGCTACCACTTCAACTTTAGGACAAACTACCACAGTCCCAAAAAGAAAAACACAATTTGACGTCACAACAAAACACATTTGGACCTAGGAAGCAGCGGATGGTGTTTAGCACTATCTCATTTCCTCTTTAAATGCAGGTTTCTGGTTCTGGCAGAAGCGTCTCAGTATACCTGATGGAAGGGATGGGTGTTCTGTGACCATGTTAAAAACCTAGCTTGTTCTGTAAATTTGCTAAAGCAGCATTAATTAGTTGATGTCTACATTTGAAACTGATCTTTACAAGGATAGATATATTTCTTTAAATATTTTAATTTCCTAAAAGGTCCTGTGCATATTTTATAATAAGCTGTTTTTATCATCACTAAACTGCTCAACTCTTCCACCTGCTGATGTGAATTGATACCTGCAGCCTCCCTAAGATATGAACTCTAAGTCTCTCAAATCAGGTTCTGAATATGTATGTCGCAAAAACTCCTATTTGAAATCCTCTTAGAAAGCTCTAGATGTATTTCTCTGTTTCTGCATTCATCATCTAAGTATGGTTTATCTTACATGAAGATGGTGTGAAGACCTATCTCCCAACTGTTATCCATTTAGTTGACTCACAGTCAGGTTCAGTTGAAGGACCAGTATCTCATCTAGGCTATAAATTTGGATATTGGCAGTTTTAGTGTTTATTTCTTCTGCTACATCCTACTGAGACAAAAGCATCTGCATCCTCTTCTCCTCAGGCTGTCCTTGTCCCTTTAACAACCTCTATCAGATGCATGTTGTAGCATCATCCAGACGGTTCCTGTTCCTGTGATGTTTCAGTTAATCTAGTCCAGCTCGTGTAACCTCAGATGCTTCTGTATGGGAGGACTTCTTTTCTCTCACAGTTGGAGTTAGGTCTTGTTCAGTAGTCTGACAGTGATTTTAAGATGCTGATATGATGTGACCTTCACTGCTTTTCCTCTGCTTTTAGTCAGGCACCTGGCCAGGTGTAGATGTCTGTTTCGTTTACTGAATGATGCATTTTAATGCACAACTTTAGACTAAATATCAAATGAAATATCCGTTATCCACTATGAGGATGTTATGATCAGGTTACATGTCCTTGAGTTCAGAAGGAACTGAGGACTGCATCTGCAGCATCATCCTGCT